GATGATGATTAACAATGTTGTTTTTGCCCGTCCAAGGACGGGTGTATATTGCAGTAAATCTGAAATATTCAATAGAAAAATAGTTCAGCTGATGATTATTAATAAGGATGGGAGGGGGGACTTGCCCCACGTGAGTGACGTCACCCATTAATGGTTATTGTGGAGGGGTACGGTATGTGGAGTGACGTCACCTGCTCATAATTATTAATGAGGGGAGGCGTGCGGCATGTGGAGTGCGCGACCTTCTTGTGCGTGAGTGTAAATTTCCACACGGGCACTATTTCTGCCTCAGCAGTCCGCCTGCTGTATTTTTTCACCTGAGGACGATTGCTTGTGTTGCGATCGAAACATCGTGATTTTATTTTATTATTTTTATATCTACGTGACTTTACAGAAAGACCCAAAGAGTATGAATTCCTGCAGTCACGAAATTTTAAGTCAATGTTTAATTCAGCTCGACCTTCCTCTGCGTTAGTGTCAAAATCCACCCACTCATGAATATTAATGAGGGGTTTGGGCCTCATGTGGAGTGACGTCATGAGCAGGAATACACACACATTCTTTGCTAATTATATTAGTGATTCAAATTAGATTAGAAGCTTTCGTGACTGCAGGAATTACTCTTTGGTTCGTTCGGTAAAGTCACGTAAAAAGAAATTTAATTAAATAATAATAGAATACGACGTTTCGATTGCAACACAAGCAACCATCATCAGGTACAAATGAATGGGAAAATAAACATAGTAAACTTGGAAATATAATGCAATACAACACAGAGAGTCGGCCAACAAAACAGTCAACACCCCACCTGGTTGATTACGTGCTTCCAAAGATTGCTAAATTTTAGAGAGACAAAACGTAGACACGGAGACACACAGACAGACACAGGCAGAGAGAGACTCACACAGAGACAAACCGAAAGAGAGACACACATAGGCACACAGAAAGACAACGTCTCTGTGTCAAGGCCTTAAATAGAGAGAGGGGGGGCATATGGGGAGTTGTGTGGAATTCATGCCCACAGCAGATGGACGAGCTGGACACTTGTTTTCTCTGATGATGGTTGCTTGTGTTGCAATCGAAACGTCGTATTGTATTGTTATTTTATTTAATTTCTTTCTACGTAACTTTACCGAAAGGACCAAAGAGTATATTAGTGATGTTAGAATCGGCCATGGAAATGCGATATTGGCTCAGAGATGCCTGTTTGAGCAAGTAGACAACATTGACATATTTAAAGTTTTAAAGGTTTATTCGTGTTTGTAAACCACTTATTCCAAAAATTGCAATGTTGCATAATTCTATATCGAGTGAATGTGATGTGTAGCAAATTAAATGCATTTCTTAAGTTATTAATGTAATTATTTCTTTTCTTTCTATTTTACCGTGGAATATAAAAAAGGACATGCAAGTTGGTTGTTCTTTTCTTAAAGGGAAATAGAAAAACATTTTTAATGTCGATTACGACACAAGTCAAATGTGAGGCCTACTTAAACTGGCTCATGAAGGGCAAACTGCATTTCTTACAGGATTGCAATATTTATTCAATGTTTATGTTTGTTGTCTTAGTTGCTTGGCTATTTATTGATTTATATTTCCATTAAATCAGCCTTACCACTTCTATTTCATTTATTCATTCGTTCAGCGAGATGTGGTGCCACACCTGGCATAATTTCTCGAGAATTTATTTGGTGTTTAGTTTGTTGTCCTTCCCCACACCTTCGATTAGCACGGTTGGCTACTCATAATAAAGGTTTTCGGGTGCTGGCGGGTTAACGACACATTTAGACTTACGCGATTTAACTTAAAAACCTTTACACTATGGGAACCTCATTTGCCAGTATCTATCTGGCAACAAAACTGGTGTCAGTTTTGTTGCCAGATAGAAGGGTAAAAACCCAATTATTAAAAACCTTTATTATGAATAATATTGGTCACGAAAGCCTACATGTCTAAGTGATGGTTGGCGACGTACGGTGTGAAAGAAGATCAACATACATACAAAGACCCAGTACTTGGCACGCGTTGGGCTGTTGTGGCATTGGGCTTAGAGGTGGTCAGGAGATGGCAGTGCAAAAAATGGATGCTTAAATTTTTCTGTGAGGAGTATGTGCCCTTTGTGTGCTAGAGTTTTCTCCTAGGTATTCCGGTTTGCTCCCACATGCCAAAAATACGTTCATGGAATTGGCAAAACACTCCAAACTTTATATTTTCCATCTTGCACCAATGTCTCTATTGTGATGGGTTTTCTCACCATTTACAGATTTGAAACAATCCGATGATAGTGTCTTCATGAGGCTTTCCCGCATAGAGGGAATTATTACCATAAGCAGCAGTAGAGTTATACTGTATCCATAATTAATTTGTATAATTTTAATCGAGATTCAAACTTTTAAGTAAAAACATGTGCAAGCTCCATAAAACAAGCAACATTGTCAGCTTAAAAGAGTGGTTGTCATTTATTTTGCTGACCCTGAACTAGTGATAAATATTCCACCATTTGTTTGACAAAGTGCTCCTCATTTTATTGGCCCTGCAGGAATAATGGGCTAAGTCGACCCACAACTGGGATTAAATTCACAACCTATACCCATGATAAGTCCATTGCTCAGGCACAGCATTACTTGCCCTGGTGAATACACATAAAATCACCATAATCTATATTAGTGATAAACAAATGCACCACATAACTACAGTGTCCAACTTTTATTGCAAAGATTATGGTGACATCCAGTGAGTTCTCATTAGGTTAAATAACGGGTTATGAATAAAACTGCGCAGCTTCTATCCATTAACACAAATGCTGGAATATATCATTAAGCAATGTTGACAAAGTTGTAATACGCACATGCCTCTTTCCACTCAGTTGCCCGAGGCGTTTTGGCGACGGTCATGTTTCCTTCGAGCTTTTAGAACCGTTCATTAAAAACAACAGACGCAGCGCACTACATAATAATGTACGCATGAAGTTGTAAATGCACTTCGTAAAGTTATAAAGACCGCCGCACAATTAGTGCGCATTACCTGCTGTGGGGTTCGGTTCAGAGACACGGCGATTGACGGGGACAAAAAAATATTGAATACGCGCCACGAAGCGAGATGCACTCTCTGAGTTACGTTGGGGAAAAAGAAAGAGGAACAGATGGATGTGAGTGCAATAGGCAGATCAATGACATCATTCAAACTGCTCAGAAAAGCAAGTGGTCTCGGGCAGAACACACTGCTCGAAGGGATTGATGGCCGATGGTCCAGAATAATGATGGAGTTGCTGCCAAGGGCAACGTCCTCCAAGGAGACGGAGCGATGGAATCGGTGTGCGCACAGGTGCTCAATGAATGATTACATCTGGGATCAAGAGAGATGTTGGCAGCTGGGGGCGACTTTCGTTTAGCAATGAGTTGACCAACTTTGTTGTTGATGATTATTATGCCCCCGGGTGGTGGCGGGGGTGGTGGGTGGCACAGGGGATCACGCACTGCACGATGTTCTTGGCCACCTGAGTTTGATTGTTGACCACGGCTGAAGCAATATCTGAACTGGGAATGGGCTTTCCCCTTCGCCGAGCCCATACTTAGCGACGGCGCCCCAGGTGTCCCTGGAAACATAATGAAACCCAATGAGTTCTCATTAATTTAAGTTGCCCAGAAACACAGAAGCTGGAATATATTATGGACAAAAATTGTAAAGTACGTACAACTCCATTTGGTTGCCCAAGAGCTATATGTATGGTTGGAATTTTGCTTGAAAATGTGGAGCTATTTATGAAAAACAACACACATACAGGGCGATCCGTTTATAGATACCCCACTGATGTATAATGATCCTATTGTATCTACATATGTTGGACTTCTTTGGCTCTATACATAGCCAACGGTGCTAAGCGGAGGTATGGGAGAAAAACTATAATCGAAACACAAATAGTGGTAAACTTTCACTTTCTCCTCAAAATGTGATTGGAATTCATGAAGGCCAAGGCTCCATATGTTTCAGAGGAGACTGTGATGCGATTAAATAAGTGTACTGAAATTGGTGGGAGATGTGTATGGGCTTGCTGTTATTTGGCTGCTACAAATTTCTCCATGATGAACCATTCGTTGAGCTGTCATTTGGGGCTAGGTCGCTTCTGAAAACTAGCTCAGTGAGCCTTGCCTCGTAAAATAAAAAGGTTAGTTTAGTATTTACGTGGGGTATCTATAAATGGTTAACCCTGTATGTACAGTACAGTTTTGCACGATGTGGGGAGCGGTAGTGCAACGGTTAGCGCGCTGCGCTATGAACCCGGCGACCTGAATTCAATTCCCGCTCATGGCCAACACCATTGAAGATGATCTGATTCGGTCCTGAGCCTCCCCTAGGTCGACTCAGCCTCAAATGAGTAGCTGGTGCAGTATGTAAACATCGCCACTGGGGAGACAAATGCGGCCGGGGCGTGGTGCTGGCCACCCACCCCCTCGTGTGCCGTGCCGGCCATCATAGGTGCTCACTAACAGCACTTGCCCCAACAGTCTGGTAAGGCTATACGGGGGGTTCTTTGTCAGTGATGTGTGATATCGACATTGGTCCTGCACTCCCCCATCAGCAAACCAAACTGAAGTACGGTCAAAACAACCACTGTGGACGACATGGTGTGGGAAGGCCTTGATCTCACAGTGGATTGACAAACGGGTTGTAGATTATTCTCATCATTATATGGACAAGCTTTGTAAATATCCACACTTTTGGGTGTGAGAAAGGAGACGATTTAAAAAATATGTTGTTTATAACTTCAGGGGAGAGTGGATGTGTGAGCATTTGGGATTTAAGTACCCATAATGGCAAACAGACGCATGCTGGCGGAAAGATCAACACGCAGTTGTGTCTGCAGCAAAGCATAACGCAGGCCGGCACATCTAAAAATAGCAAAAAACCGGGGTTGATGTTGTGATATTTGCTGTTTCAAGCCACTTGGTGAAAGCGCTTATTCACACTGTTGCTAACCAAAGTGTTCTTGTACTTTGCAGGTATCTCAGTCACAACCATATCGCCGTGCTCAAGCCAAGAGTGTTTCAAGACCTGCGTTGGCTCGAGTGGCTGTAAGAGACATCGCTACCGTTCTGGCTAGTAGTTGTTGTAGATGCACACACATGCATGCCTTGCATTATATACAAGCTATACTACACGGGTGCATGGATGCTGTCGCGGTGTAAGTAAGTGGTCGTCGTCGGCGACAGTCCCTCGGCCTTCGAGGATGACGTCCGTCAGGTTGGGTGGTTTCTGTGGAGGTGGCTGAGGAGTCCAATTCTGGATTAGCAGACCTTTGGGCATTGTGGGCACCACGCGGTCCCAGATGGAAGTGGAATCCGCAGTGCCGGGTTGGCTTCGCGGTGGAAGTGATTAGCTCACTAGGGGCTTGCAATCCAGAGGTCCTAACTTCCACCCGTCCTTCTGGGTCCGCAGCCGAATAAATCGGTACACATCAGTTCTTTATTGGCAGGCCGTATGGTGGGGTAAAATGTGGATACTCCCACCTTTTACAAGACTTCTTGCCAGCGTGCAAGATTAGCCTCAATACTACACAGAGGGGTTCTCTGCAGCTGCCTTCAGTGGAGGTCCTTCTGAAAACAGCAGTGAGCACAGGCAATTGCACAACTGCACCTTTGCCTTTTATAAACGAGTGTGTGTGTTCAACGTCAAACAGGGAGACATTGCAAGTGAGGCATTAGGGTTATCATATTGCTCCTGGCATGTACTGGTAATTCGTATTTGGGCGCCACATTGGCGAGATGTTAACCACTTCACCTGGTGTACAGGAGGCCATGGGTTCCATTTCGCCACTGATGTCTGATGTATATGTTATAAATTTGCACGTGATAAGCCACTTCGTTGAGCTATCATTTGTGGCCAGGTTGCTTCTGAAATAGAGCTATATAGCTCGGTGAGTCTTACCTTCAAAAATAAAAAGTAGTTTAGTTTATAGTTTCACATTATTCCTCCTGATTGCTGTGCAATCAGTTTACCTTTGCTGAGCATGCACAAGTTGATTCATTTTGATCATGATTTTTCTTTTCATATACTGTAAACCTATTGCAAAGGATATTTTACTTTGGCTAACACAAGCAGCAGTCAAAACATTTTGACCTTATTACATCGCCTAGAATGATCAATATTTCTGTTTTTAAATCAACCAAACGAAGTACAGTAAACCTTGTTAATTCAATATACATGGGACTTTAGCCTTGCCAAATTATCCAATATCCCGAATTATGTCTCCCGCCCCAATATAAAAAAAAAACATTTCCAAATTTGTTTTCCAAACTCTTCACACACCATACGTATTGACACACCTGCTTCAATTCTATCCAAAACATTGGATTTGTCTCGCAGACTAAGGGATTTATACTTGTCCCTTTCCATTACATTTTTCAAAGGGTTGGCTTGTACTGAGTGCATAAACAAGGTGTAGTCCAAAGCAACAGGTCTGCACTAACGCTCACCACGCGCGCCGCCACTAGACTGAGTCATTGTTTTGGTCGTGGCTCGCAGCGTCGCTCCACGTGAATGCCGAAATTGGACCATTCAGTACGGCAATTCGGCTCATGGCGAATAACTTATACTGTATATATGTCGAAAGCACAGCAGTGTGGAATTATCCCCAATTACGAATTATCAAATACCGAAATAACGAAGTTTTATTGTATGTACAAAATGACTCACATTATGTTACTCATAAAATACCAAACACATGATTACGATATTACTTAGACAATAGCACGTAAGAGGCTGAATTTCTTTCAAAAGTAACCCTGCCTACGATAAGTCAGTTTTGAGCACAAGCCTTACGTGGAATAATGGACAAATCGTTACAGGGTCATGAGTTGAATTCTGAACAGAGTAAACGGAGATCATTAGTCTTTTGAGTCAGTAAAATGGAAGGTCATCGGTGGATACATTAAATATAAAATCAGAATCTTAAATTCATTCTAAACGAATGAATCATATTTTCAATTCAAAAGAACAACATTGTCTGGTAATTACCTGCCGGAACTGTGTGCCCAAAACTGACATGCGCTTGAGGCTGCATTAATGAGAAAATGGGAAAAGAGACTTAAACTACATTTAAGCTTATTTTCTGGCACTCATTAACGATGCCCGTTGCAAGAGCACTTTAAAAGCGATGAACCAGACCCTCGTGTTTAAATTTATATTTTCTATGAACAAAGCTTCAAACTCATGGCAGAGAGCCTGGGGACACACTGCCTCGATGCACATCTACAAGAAAATAGCCTTGCACTTACTGAGTCGCAACTTTCCTTCAAGATGACTTTGGTCTCCTCCTTTGAAAAAGTGGAACTTCCCATCACATGCTCAAGGCCAGCAGTAAAGAAAAGTGCAACTACCGCGAGCTTGACGACATAAGAGATTAATACCAGAAAGATGTGGCACTGGCTCTAAACAGAGGAAAGTGGAAACAAATGACGAAATGTGCAGTGGGCACCTACGAAATATCTGCCCATGGATCATGATGATGATGATGACAACCATCGCTCAATGAAGAATAGGGCCACTTAGACTTGATTTTGATTGGTAAATGATAGCATGTGAAAAATGAAAATCGGTTTCACCCCATCATCATTTATGATTGACGTTCACTCAGTTCCCCAGAGCTATCTGTAAACATCAGTGCAAAGCGTGTGATTAACTCTTGCTTGGAGGTGTTAGAAACTAATATCCCTTATTGGCAAATAGTATCTCATTTCCAGAAAATGATAATCCACTCAAGAAACATGGTTAAATGCAGCGTATACGCTTTCCAGCTGCCGTGTTTAAAGGTTTAAGCCTTAAACTCGTGAACACCTTCCAGATTGGTCGGCTATATTTAACTTGGTTGTAAGCAATTGTGAGAGATTAGCTTAGATGTACATACAGACGGGAAAAAAAACCGCTGGTGTAGACAGATTTTTTATGCGTTGCTCCCTCGCCGTATTCTCTGGATTAAACGATGCACCAGAAAATAAGACGCAACCCCCAACTTTACACACACTTTGTGAGAATGACCGCACTAGTACAAGCGTCGCTGTTGCCTTGGGAATGGTGCACAACCGCTAGCTGCTAGTCTCACACTGTTACGGGACCAGGAAAATCATATACCGCATAAACATAACTGATTTCCATCTCCACATGTAAATAAATAAATAAACATGTATCTATCCTGCGCTTGTGTGCAGTACCAAGTATACGCATGTTTTTCTTTCCTTAAACCCACCCGGTGGAATGCGCGTGGCTTGCGTATAGATTGGACGCCGGAGTGAGATTGTGAATTTGCATGTCCACGTGCCAGCATTCACGCCACATACGGAATTATGAGGTGCACACCCCCAAACGCTTGGCCATCAAACTGTTTTTGGAAATTTAAACACAACACAACTGCGTTTTTACAATCCCGAGAATACGGGATACACACACACGTGCCCGTTAATGCAAAATGCCTTCATTTCTCCCGCCTCCCCTTTCCCTCTCTGCAGGATCATTGATAACAACAGGCTGATTAAAATATCACAGAAGTCCTTCCTTGGCCTGCAATCCCTTGTTATGCTGTAAGTTTCCTTTGATTTCTTGCGTTGCAGCTTTGCATGCATTGTTGGCACTGGAAAACTAGGCAGATAAGTCAACTGGTTATGTCTTTTTCGTTCGGTGAAGCTCGAACTGCATTCATATGATGTGATGCTCGCTGTTCCCCAGAGTGGTCCGCTCACAATTGGATAGACTGGCCATGCCGTGGTACTGTGGCATTGCATTTCCACTGTGGGCTTGGGGTGATCAATCACGAAAATTAGCATGCCCAAAGTTTATATTTAAAGCTTTCGTGACTGCAGGAATTCATCTTCTTGGTTCTTTCGGTAATTATTTCCCTTCTACGTGACTTTACTGAAAGAACCAAGAAGATGAATGCCCAATGTTTATTTGAGTATGTAGGCACTTTGACTTGACTAATAAAAAAATATCACCAGACGGAAGTACGAGCAAATCTAAGACCGTTACTACAAGTCGTCACTGTTAATATGTTATTGTTGGTGATAATCACAGTACGTATACATATTTGTAAATTAATGCGTAGCCTGTAAATGATTATAACTTTGTGCCGGGTGTAGGTGGCTCATGCCTGTAGTCAAAGTTGGTGGATCACACAGAGATCAGGTGGCACCACACTGCCACCTGCAGGGCCAGATCGGTACCTATGCGAGGTAGTGTAGCATGTAGGTTGCTGACCCATCAGTAGATACATTTTAAATTTCCCTCCCTCCTCGCCTTTGTGGATTATTCTCCAGATATTGGAATTACAATACACACATGGTGGTTGACTAAAAGTCCCAAAGCAACATTTGCTGAAATATATACGACTGCAGTATTGCAGTAAACATAGTTTATAGATGGTGTTTATAGCATATGTATGCTGGGAGAGACAAACTACCCATAATAAGCATGCAACTATATATTAACTGTGTTTATTGGCAGCACAGTAGCAAAGAACATCGTTAAATAGTTCGACCTTTATTATTCGGTAAAACATTACGTCTACCAGCTTGGCCCATTTGAATAATCTAAGCCCCACCTGGTTTAGTTATAGTCCTGACACTGGAGGAATCGTATTTCTTTAGCTGTGAATGTACGATGATGTCTGCTGAAACAAAGCACTTTTATAGGTGCTTATGTAGCTCCAAGGGCTCATGCCCCTGTCACGAATATGAAAGACAGCAGCCTCCGCGTGTCGGAATAAAGAGCTCGTATTTTCCATCTCAGTCTCACCTTGAATATTTAATCGTTTGGCAAAAAAAATCCACCTTCCAAAATGTGGCATTCAAACCAATTCCCGAGAATGAAAGACAACGGCATAAAAGGGCAATCGGTGAAAAAAAAATATCATCTGCAGTGTACCTCTGCAAATGATTGCATTGGGCTAATTCGCCGAGCGTGGGACAGGTTCTAGTGTCTCGGTGAAACCAGTTGATGAGAAGGGTGGTCTCTTTTTGTTCTGAGGACATCCCATGTGCAATCTTCCTCGGCATGACCCACATTGGAATATTTCGAGTTAAAATCCCAGTCAGTGTTGACATATCCTCTTACCCCCCCACACCCTTTGGGATCAATAAAATAGGTACCACATTGTTGATAGTCAACAGTGGTCATTGTTTTCAGAAACTGGATTCCCACCATGAGGATATTAAATTTCCACTGATGGCTCAGGGCCATCCATACCCAGAAGACTGCTGCCACGTTGAATTCCTTATAGAGATATTTGAGCATGCGATAGCATCTGTCATTGGATGTTATCTGTGATGAAATGCTGACTTGTTATTCAGCTGTAGTGAATCATTCATTTTGTTTAGTTTTTTTGGTGAACAGATGCACACTGAAGCCGCGTGAATATTGTGTAACATAATGTCCCCCCATATTTATGTTAAAATTTGTGTTTACAGGGTATTGCTGAACAATACACTTCATGAATTACCCAGGAAGTCCATCTGTAAAGGAATGCCACAGCTGAACTGGTTGTGAGTACCGCCACTAAATGCACATGAAGGGGAACCTTTGGGCAGAGATCACTGGAAGTGTTACGTTTAAATGTTATATTTATACTTTTTTAGCTGATAAATATTTTCTAGCGGTGCATATGCAGTGACTTAACTAGAAAAGAAATCCTCTGGCACATTGGTGTATGTTGGTTTTCATCACTTTTTTTTGCAAAAACACTCCATCATGTTCACGCTTTGCCTCTTTATTTTGTGCTGTAATTGCATTTGCCCTGGATATAAATGCTATATTTCTTAGAGCTGCGTGCTTAAGACAATTATTTGTGTCTGTTCAGAAAACCTGTTGCACGTGACGTTCGTTTGTTGCAAATTTATGTTGAGGTCAATATTACAGACTTGTTGCTATTCGATCGTTTGCTCAATACCACTCATTGTTAAATTTCGATTTAAAGCGTCCGTGACTGCAGGGATTCATCTTCTTGGTTCTTTCGGTAAAGTCACGTAGAAGGGAAGTAATAAAATAATAAAAATAAAACATAATAAAACAATTCTCACGACGTTTCGGCCACAACGCAAGCAGCCATCCTCAGGTGAAAACCAGGTCTGTCGAGGCGATTGTTTTCGACGGATCTGAGTTTTTTTATACTTCCACCAGTTGCGTTATTAAATGTTTATACGTGAGTAAAATGCTTCGGTCATGGAATTAGGCCTCAATAATTATTCTATTCTAAGAGAGAGAGAGAGAATCAAAATTGATTGAAAAAATACAGATCCTTTAGCCTCCTATCACACCAATATAAACTATTCACAAAGATTATAGGGAACTAAATAAAGGAGGATTTAGAGACTAATCAACCATGAGAGCTAGGTGGTTTTAGAAATGGGTCATATTAAAACATGCATGCTGTCAGTCCGATTATCTAAAAGACCTATTAAATTTTCAAATGCCATTATACCTAACCATTGTCTGCTGTGATAATGCACACAATTCATTGGAAAAATATGCAGTGATTAAAGCTTTCACGAACCTGGGTGTACATTTTTTAAAATCAAAACTAGATTTTAAATTTCGATTTTAAGCTTTCGTGACTGCAGGGATTCATCTTCTTGGTTCTTTCGATAAAGTCACGTAGAAGGGAAATAATAAAATAATAAAAATGAAACATAATAAAATAATTCTCACGACGTTTCGGCCACAATGCAAGCAGCCGTCCTCAGGTGAAGAACAGGTCATTCAGCGTCTGAATGAACCTGTGCGTTTGTAAGTTGACATGTGTGATCTCACTGCGGTTAAGTAAAATATGAGATTTTGAATAAGGGAATCGGAGAATAAGAAGGCTGTGTTCAAATTGCGGTCTTGGGAGCATAGGCATCATTTCTCCTGCACATAAACTGAAGTAGAACATTTGGTGGAAAGCGATGGAGCGACTTTGCTTGGGAGTGACCATTCCCAGACGTTATAATGCACGATTCTTACCGTTGACTTGGGGGCTTAAATTAATACGAGAAAGGAGCCACCAAAATATGAGCCCAATGTTCCGTTGAGTGAGTTAACCCTGCAATTGAATTGCTCTTTAGATGTATTTTTTGCTAGACTTATATATTCTCTATGATTAAGCTGTATGTGGGACGATACCCTTATGCAATCGTGTGGCACTGGTGGCAGCATGTGGCAATGCAGCAATTGTAATTGGAGACCAATTAGATTCGAATTTCTCTTGCCACCACAGGGTGGACAGTGACCATCTGTAATAACATCACTAGGTGCCCAATTGGTTTTTATTGTTATTTCCCGGTGCCATGCAGCGCCAATTACAGTAATGCTAGATTAGAGCAAGCTTTAAACTAGGTCTGAATGGATTCTTGTGCGCAGCATCTAAAACTCCATGGCAACAGCCATAATGTGTGTCTGCGTGAGTCCATGTGCGTTTGTAAGTCGACGTGTGTGTGTATGTACATCGATATGTGTTTGTGTGAGTCCATGGTTGTGTGTGTTAGTTGATATGTGTGTGTAAGTCCATGTGTGTGCGTGGGTCCATGTGTCTGTGTGAGTCGATGTGTGTCTGTACGTCCATGTGTGTGTGTATAAGTGGATGTGTGTGTGTGTGTGCAAGTCGATGTGTGTGTGCGTCAGTCGATATGTGTGCATGTCAGTTGATGTATGTGTATGTAAGTCGATGTGTTTGTGTGTGCGTCGATGTGTGTGTACATCTGTGTGTATAAGTCGATGGGCGTGTGTGCAAGTCCCTGTGTGTGTGTGATTCGATGTGTGTGTGTCAGTCGATGTGTGTGTGTGTGTCAGTCGATGTGTGTGTGTTAGTCAACGTGTGTGTGTGTGGAGTGTGTGTGTAGACAACTAATATTTGACAATTAAGTTAGTATTTTTTACAATAATAATGTGTGTCTAAGTTCAAATGTGCGTGTGAGTCGATGTGCGTGTGTGTACGTCGAGACGGAATCCTTACTCTCGGGGCTCCTCCAGAAACAACAAAAAACCACTACGTGTGGCCACGTGGAATGTTCGAATGTTCACTGCGGAGGAGAGGCTGTCACTCCTCTGTCGGGAGCTGGACCGGTACCGCCTGGATCTCTGTGGTATTCAGGAGGTCCGGTGGACCGGCTCTGGCTCCTGCCACCATGAGGGGTGGACAGTCCTCTTCTCGGGGCAGGAGACTGTCAAACAGCAGGGAGTGGCTCTTCTTCTGAACAAAAGAATGAAGGGGGCGTGGGAGCGTGGCGGTGAGGTATGGGAAGCTGTAATCCCCAGGCTACATTGAGCTCGCCTTCCCATCAACCAGAGTGGTGGTCATGGTTACTTATGCCCCCACCGAAGACGAACATCCGTGGAGGAATGCAGGCAAGGCCGATGAGTCAAATGCCTTCTATGACCTCCTGTCAGAGGTGATAGCTAATGTGGCCCCTCGGGATAGAGTAATCCTGAGTTGGTCAGGATGCTGGCACCTAGTCTGGAGTGATTGGAAGGCATGGGCCAGATCAGTTCAATAACAACGGCAGGAGGCTGCTAGATTTTTGTGCAGCCCATGAGCTTGTAATTACCAACACACTGTTCTGGCATCGGCACATCCACACAACATCATGGATGCATGCCAGGTCCAAGCAAGAACATCTGCTGGACTACATAGTGACGGAACAGCAGATGTGGGCCCATGTCCTTGACACCAGTACCTATCGTGGAGCTGATCTGCCCACTGACCATCGACTTATCATCTGTAAGATGCGCCTGCCATTCTTCCACTCCGGTGGTGGGAGTACACCCATAACCCCATTCAAACCCTTAGTGGCATGGTCTCAGTTAGCTGATCAAAGTTGCAAGCGAGAATTGCATCATCGCTTGCGACTGGGGTTGGCATGATCCCCACTCCTCCTGATGTCGAGGGGAAATGGGCGAGGTTTAGGACTGTGGCTCATCCAGCCGCAATGACTGCTTTGGGTACACGGTCCAGACCTCCTCAGAGACCCTGGCTGACAGAGGAGGTGTTCAAGCTGGCTGAGAAAAAGCGGCAGGCCCACTCTCATCGGCTAAGCATCCCACGTCGGAGAATGAGGAGGCTTACCGCAGCTTTCACTCGGAGGTTCGGAGAGCCGTAAGGCACTGCAAGGATGGGTGGTGGTCGTGGGTTGCTGAGGAGATGGAGTCTGCCTCAATGGCCCACGATCACAAATTGGTCTTTAATTCCATCAAAAAAGTAACCTGCAGCACCACACCTATTACCATCGTTAGGGTAAAGAACGGTGATCCAATCTCTGACCCCCAGGAACAGAACTATACTCATACTCTTTGGTTCTTTCGGTAAAGTCACGTAGGTATAAAATAAAATCAATTAAATCACGACGTTTCGGGTGCAACACAAGCGTCCGTCATCAGGTGGGACAACCACAGCAAGAAACAATTGCTGAAGTCACGAAAACTTCAAACCCCAGGAACAGGTTTGCAGATTTGCTGAAAATCCCTCAGCCTGGAAAACAACATGAACAAAGTGGAGATGAACCTGCCGAGGCTGCGGTGCCTCAAATATTGGAAGAAGAAGTCACCCCCTGTGAGTGGCTGGCTGAGGTGTCATCTGTTGAGGAAGTACTGAAGGCGATCCAGAGCCTAAGACCAGGAAAGGCACCGGGCAGAGATGATCTCCCAAGCGAAATGCTGAGGGACGGTGGCGTTTGTGCACAGACTGCCCTACATGACATCATAACAACAATCTGGACCATTGGACGGGTTCCGCAGGATTGGAAGGATGCCCTGGTGGTCCACCTCTTTTAGAAGGGGGACCGCACAGAATGTAACAACTACAGGGGCATCTCACTCCTCAGTTTGCCGAGAAAGGTTTTGGCAAGGATTATTCAACATCACCGTGCTAGGCACGCTGAGGAGAAGCTTGCGGGGCCCCAATGCGGTTTCAGGAAAGGGCGGTCCTGCACAGATGGCTGCAACAGAGGTGTAGGGAATTCCAACAAGACTGACATCTCTGCTTTATTGACCTGGTCAAGACCTATGATGCCATCAGTAGGCCTGGGCTCTGGGATGTTCTTCGTGCTTTCGGAGTCCCTGACCCTCTGCTCATGATCATTAAGGACCTTCATGATGGTGAGCAGGCCCAGGTAAAACTACATGGCCGAGAGTCGGAGCCATTCCCTATACACCTTGGGGTGCGACAGATGTCCTCTAGCTCCCACATTATTTAACATCTATTTCGACCACATAGTTTGTGAAGCCTTCAATAGCTGTACCGGAGTAAATTTCATCTTAGATTAGATACAATGGGAGGCTGATCGATGCCTGGGTATGGTCAAGGAATGGCTCCCTATTGCTCAACTATGTTATGTATGGCGATGATCTGGTAATTGCTGCTGACTCAGAGGAGGAGTTGGAGGCACTGCTGCTGAACCTGGAGCTTGCCATTAAGAGGTGGAGACTTACCATCAGCCCCAACAAAACTAAGCACCTGCCTGGGTATTTTGTACCATTGGACACTCTACCCCAGAATTCTCAATTGGTGATAGGGCAGTTGTGGAGAGAGTGGAGAGTTTCCCATACCTGGGCAGTGTGCTCATGACCAGCTCCGGTTTAACAGCAGAGGTCTCACTCCGAATCAGTCGAGCGGCATTATCTTTTCATCAGTTGAGTCACGCTGTGTGGAACCTACTTGGTCTGTCGCTCCTAGCGAAGCTTCAGGTCTTCTCGGCCATGGTCATTCCTTCCCTTGTCTACGCTTGCGAAACGTGGACCCCCCTAATGGAACATCTCCGGTTAGAAACATTTAAGCTGGCCTGCCTTCGATCCATCCTGGGTTTAACCAGGCTGGATTGTGTGAGGAGCTCACAAATCCTTGAAAAATCTGGACAAAGTCCCATTGGTGAGTTCCTCCGGCAGGCAAGGCTGCGTTGGCTGGGCTATGTAGCCCGCATGCCCAGCCACCGCGTGCCTAAACAGCTTTTGTTCGGCCGGATCAAGGAGGCTAAACGGGTGCGGAATGGCCTAGAGATGAGATGGATGATGTGGTATAGGAAGATGTGGAGCTGAGTGGACTTGCCGATGACTGGTACCAGCCCTGTCAAGATCGGCGTCTGTGGAGGAGGCTCTTGAACGACGCTACTGGCCAGTTGGAGGCAGTTGCCCTCCAACAACAATGGAGGGTGGAGGAGCGATGCTCTCAACAATGAGTGGAGCACCGTGTGGCTAAAGCACAGCCAGTTGGCACATTAGGGGGCACAGGGGGTGCATCAGCCAGTCGTCTCAGTCAGTCGACCTGTGGCATCTGGGTCTGCCCCGTGACCTCTTGCCAGCGAGTCCTGAGCATCCCCCCCTCCTTTCACATATCCCTACTGACCAGTGTGGTGAAGTATCATCATTATTCCTCATGACCAACAGCTTGAGGAAGCCTTCATCCAGCCTTGCTTTTGACAAATGTGACGTGCCAGCGGCATGAACGAACAACAGGGCGTTTGTCACTTGTGGCAGAGGTTCGCAGTTCAAACCAAGCAGCCACCCTGGTTAGTACCATGGATGTATTAACCGCATCTGGTAAACAAAATAAACTTGAACGTAAATATTGCCGTCTGCTCTTAAAAACCCGGTGGTGCTATAAAAAAAAGTGTACCAATGTGTGCTGGCATCGCGATTCAAATTCAGAAAATGTTTCAACGTTACTTGCAAAATTATTAGCAAATTTATTCAGTTGGATTAAACCACATTGCAACATCGCACCCACTGGCAGACTACACCCATCTGTGGAACATAAGCCCTTTTTGATAACCTTGTGCTGTAAGACTGGTGTGTTTGTTATGAATAATTAAAGGGCTGGAAACTATAGTTTCATAAACTATACAAATGTCCAATGCGTATCGTGCTTTTTACCAATGTGTGCTGACATGTGCGTGCTCACCCGGTCGACGACTGTGACTTTAATTTGGTCTTGCCTTCTCTCACCTCTTTCTATGGCAGTGACCTGGAAGGAAACCAGATCCAGTCGGTGAGAAATTCTACATTCTTGGGCTGTGATCAACTGACTGTATTGTGAGTTCCACTAACTCCCACAGACACACACCAATTCCCAGATTTAGCGAATACACATTGTTGGGGCAAGTGATGTTTAGTGAGCACCAGAATATGATGGGGTGGTGTGGCCTACACCATAAACAGCCGCCTTTGTCATCCCAGTGTTAATGTTTAGGTACCATGCCAGGTTATTTAGTAATAATAATTTATTTATCGAGAAAAGCTTCACTTTTCGATTTAAAACTTTCGTGACTGCAAGGATTCATCTTCTTGGTTCTTTCGGTAAAGTCACGTAGAAGGGAAGTAATAAAATAATAAAAATAAAACATAATAAAACAATTCTCACGACGTTTCGGCCACTACGCAAGCAGCCGTCCTCAGGTGAAGAACAGGTCCGTCGAGGCTTGGAGTGTCTTTTTAAGATGGGTTGGAGGGGGGGAAGAGCGCCTTGACAAAACAATTTACATATCAATAGGAATTTAGCATATTTATAAGCTGGGTTGGAGGTGGAAGAAGAGCGCCTTGACAAAATATTTTGCATATCAAGAGGAATTTAGCATATTTATGGGAAATGCGTAGGAGGTGGGCTGGGGGTTTTCAAAGTCATATTATGCCCATGCATTATGCAGGATCAGCAGGGGGTAGCATTAACAAAGGGAGGGAATGTTAATAGTATGTAGAAGCAGGAGACCCGCAGCGGAGCAAATAATGCATTCCCTGTGGAGAACACAAGATACACAGTCAATCCCAGTGAGTGGACTGCGGTCTGAAAGTCACCGTAAACGTGACCAACAATCAGTTAAGATCCGAAATGGTTTATTACGTCCTTCCAATGATTGTTGAGCCAGAATCCATCTTCTCGGTTGAAATTGTCTCTGTGTTTGTATATGTGGATCGCCTCATGAACGAATCTCTCATGGTAGCCAGATGGCTTGCAGAGAATCTCCGTCTTGGAGAAGTCAATGTCATGTGAGCCCACTGAATTGTAACAGTGATCTGCCACGGCTGAGGTGTTTGTCCTACCGTGTTTCAAGTCTGCTTTATGTTCAGGGATGCGGTCCGAGACATGTCGTTTGGTTTCTCCAATGTAACTGCTACCACAGAGGAAACTTAGTTTGTAGACGCCAGGGTACTGTATGTCTGGAACCACATCTTTTACAGACGGGACCAGATCACGGATTTTATGTACTGTGTTGAATCGGACCTGGATCTTGTGTTTAATCAGGATTTTGGAGATCTTTTTTGTGACCCCAGTAATGTCGGGTAAGGTGATGGTCTTGAGAGGCTCCTCAACAGGGTCCTTCTTGATGGTTGGAGTGATGGCTTTGCGGATTGTGTAGTCGGAGTAACCATTAGCCTTAAGAGCTTGGCGTACATGTTTGAGTTCACTGGCAATGTGTTCCTGGTCGGAGATGCATTGGGCTCTATGGTATAGAGTCTTGATGAGGGAGTTCTTCTGGGATGGATGGTGGTGGGAATCCGGTTTTAGGTAAGCATCCGTGTGGGTGGCTTTCCTGTAGAACCATCATATAATATGCAAATTATTTTGTCAAGGCGCTCTTCTTCCACCTCCAACCCAGCTTATATATATGCTAAATTCCTCTTGATATGCAAATTATTTTGTCAAGGCGCTCTTCCCCCCCTCCAACCCAGCTTAAAAAGACGCTCCAAGCCTGGGTTGTCATTCAGACTCTGTCTTCTCGACAGACCTGTTCTTCACCTGAGGACGGCTGCTTGCGTTGTGGCCGAAACGTCGTGAGAATTGTTTTATTATGTTTTATTTTTATTATTTTATTACTTCCCTTCTACGTGACTTTACCGAAAGAACCAAAAAGAAAAAGCTTCACTGTCTCAAGACTTTTGCCGGAGACTTTAGCATTGCATTGTTTGGCCGTTTTCTTTTTAAAGACATAAAACCATGGAAAGCCAACATGTACAAGTAGATGAGACTCAAGCTTCCAAACAGATGAAGTCACAATCCCTCTTGCGGTACTGGCAGCTGCTAGTCACCTTGCAGCCAAGCGGGTTTGGAGGTTTCACTCACCTCTGTGATCCACAAAGACCTTGCCTTCAAAGTGCTGGTTTATAGGCATGTGCCACAATGCCAACCTGTTAGTCCTTTTAAATTAACTATTTTAATTTTACCAGGTAAGACCCACTGAGCTATATAGCTCTCTTTCAGAAGCGACCTGTCCACAAATGATAGCTCAACGAAGTGGCTTATCATGTGGACATTTATAGCAGCCAAATACTCAAAAAATCGGAGGACCCAGAGGAAAATCAACGCGACCACAGGGAGAACATGCAAACTTCAAATATACAGGCGTCAGGGTCGGGTTCGAACACCACGACCTCCTGCATACCAAGCGAGGTAGTTAACATCTCGCCACAGTGGCACCCCTAAAACTGAGTTGACCTTAGAGAGAACTAGAACAGGTTCCACCCAGTTACACATGCAACTGACACTGTACATGTCCAAGCCATTAAATTAGATCTTAAATTAACGTTATCTGTAAATGCAATCTGCTGTTTATGCTGTTGCCGTGAGTCAATGTGGGTACGACAATAAGTTACTAACAGCAAAGTCCACATGCACCGCACATCAAATGTCATAATACGAATATTTGCTCAACCTTAAAACTCAATGTTTTCAAGCCATATTTAATACTAGATTTTGTGTCATGGAACAATTGTAATGTTTGTGGCTGCACGCTTGCATTTCAAAAATACGTAATGGGTGACTAAAACGCTGTTTCCATGCTTCATGGGTGGGCTTATGTAAACCTCTTAAGCAATTGGGTTTTTATGGTTAATGCAATTCATTCGCAACTACCAGCGGCTCCAACAGCTAAAAAAAAGTTCGGTAAATGAGGCAAACAGCATTCTATGCTGCTTGTCTCATTGTTGTCAACAATGTAACCTGGTGTGTGAGCATATATCAGTCCGGTGTTCGAGTACATGAGTGGATACTCTGCACCTCCGATTAGCACAGTTGGGTACGTACGTTTCCAAAGAAATTCAACATATATACATGTGTAGTGAGTCCAACTGAGTTGCAGACGTTGTCTTGGGAGCAACACTATTTGTTTCAGTAATTCAACATAACATAACACAACCTACACTTGGGTGTTGAATGCCCATCTAGCTACGCTACGGCAGAACTAGACACGGTTCACTATCCCAGCACGGACCACAAGCTGGGTCCCGGACCGCATGGCTAGAGGTTTCTTTTACCCGACGTGGATCTTCATCACCAGCAACACGAAGAACCCCAAGCCCCTCACGGGGCCCCGTTATATCCGACCGGGCTGGGGCTGGCTCCGCCTCTCACCCCGCCCACCTTCTAGATCTCTCGAGCGCTTTCCAGAAGGCTCCCGAGAGCTCCTTTATACCACGTGACCGCCCAGCGGCCCCCGTCCACCGGTGGCCCCCCTCCAATATCATCCGGTCACGTGTCGGCAGGTCAACCAGCATATCATGCCCCAACGTAACCCTGGCTGGCTGACGCTCCCTCTCGCTCCCTCACCGGGAGCCCGCACCGCACACTGCACACGGTGTCTCCGCGCTGACCAGCGCTCACCCAAGCCCCGCTAGGGCTGGTACTACGCCCGGTAAGCGGGCTACACATAATGCCAACACATTATCCGCCGTGGCTTCGTAAGCCCGGCACCACACAGTGACATACACAGTCACTACACATGCATTTGGTATTTGCAACTTGCTGTGTCATTTGGTACTCAAACAACAGACTGATATATTATGGAAGTATTTTGTTATAAATAGCAATAATAATATTTCATTGTTAACTTTTTTGTTGATCAAAGTTACATTTACAGTTTAATTAAATAGTAAAGAAACAGACAAAAAGTCTGTTCTTCTAAATACAAAATGCAATACAATTGTCAGTCAGTAAGGTTATGGGGTCTTTAGGATCATGCTTTCCTCTGCAGCATTTGATTTGGCAGGAAACTCTGGACCAGCTCTAATTTCATAGCACTTATTAACAGTTTTTGCTTACTTATATCTGTATAAATCTGTCCAGGTGATGCTGTGGCAGAATGGTTGACAGTCAGCTGGTTGCAAGTTAGAATTTCAATTCCAAGGATCATCTTAACCATTTGCCGTTCCAGGTTAAATTTAACGGGTAACATTAGGCAGGTAGTGGTTGTACGGTGGAAAATATTGCCATGCAAAGTGGAATTTGCACCACTTGCAAAGGAGATGAGCATTGCCTCGTGCTCATTTCAGCTAGGATATTCTTTGGCTTTTGATTTTAGAGAATGAAATGTATTGCTTCTGGGAATTTGCTTCTTTATCTGTTCCTGGGTTATACAGCTTAAAACAGCGTCTCATGTACTATCCGCATGCAGCACACAGTCCCTTGGGATATAATCCTGCCACACTCTGCGCCAGCAGTTACAAGTGCGTGATTCAGAAGCCTTATCTGGCTACAATAACCCAAAAAAACTCAATACGTTCGTTATTCCGCTCTGTACATTTTCAGCGCATCTCTCTTGGGTGTATGCAACCTTCCATAATCAGCAAAGGATACAGGGGGCATACAACATGTTCACATTGCTATAATACAATTCGCTGTAGACGCTGGGCTGAAAGTTGCAAAATTAGCTTGACGTCGCTGCGTCTTGAGACCAGCAAAGGTATTGTTTTCTGGGTGCGTGCTTCAGCAGTGCATGGTACTTATGTGAATGCCTCGGTCGGCTATTGGTAGCAAAAATTGGTTTCAAATTCATTCCACACATTGACCTCTTGGTCTCGCAATGTATCCTCCAGTGCTGTTGCGGTAACAAAGGAAGCAGGCAAAACTTACTGACGGGAAACAAAATAACTGAAAAGTCACTCTCAACTTCTGGATACAACTTGTCTCGCCATAATCAATACTCTTCAGTTATTTCGGTAAAGTCACGTGGGTATAAAAGGTTTATAAAAGGTGTATACCTACGTGACTTTCATAATCAACGTTTTTGGGTTTAGATCGCGTTTATTTATAAATGTGTCGT